TTGTGCTGCCCTAGGCAGGACAAAACTCAGGCGCCCCCCAACCCCCCCCATCGCGCACGACCCCCACCCATCCCTTCCCCCCTCCCCGCCTTCTAAATACACACACACACATTCACTGACAGATACACATACACTAGCTGACAGAAACACACACTCACTGACACACACAGACACACACACTCACTTGCAAACATACACACACACAAACTCACTCACTCATTAGCAGACACACACACTCACTGAAACACACACACTCACTGAAACACACACACTCACTGAAACACACACACTCACAGGCAAGCACACACTCACTAACAGACACACACTAGCAGACACACACACACACACTCACTGACACACACCCTCACTAACAGACACACTCACTAACAGACACACACACTAACAGACACACACACTAACAGACACACACACTAACAGACACACACACTAGCAGACATACACACACTAACAGACACACTCACTAACAGACACACTCACAGACATACACACACTAACAGACACACACACTAACAGACATACACACACTAACAGACACACTCACTAATAGACACACACTAACAGACATACACACACTAACAGACACACTAACAGACACACACACTAACAGACACACACACTAACAGACACACTCACAGACATACACTCACTAACAGACACACACACTAACAGACATACACTCACTAACAGACACACACACTAACAGACATACACACACTAACAGACACACACACTGACAGACACACACACTAACAGACATACACACTGTTAAGACACCCCGGGTGTCTTTAAGAGAAACCACCGTTTAGTTAACCTTCCCCTTTCGCAATATCAATAACTCCGTTCACATAGACTGTGGTATACGAACCACCATCAGGGGAAGTGGTAATCTCCCGACCGGGATCCGTGAAAGGCTCCAAACTCCCGAACAGAAATCCACGAACTGCCGCTAACTGCCGAACAAAAATATCCACCACGCGGCTTTCGGTTCCAGTAATCAGTCTCTAGGCATCAGTAATAAATCCCCCCAATAACGGGACAGAAGCTCCGCATTGAGGGTCAAACAGGATCTGGCTTTACTGTGGGCTACCTGCCCGCATTTATGCAGGTCTCCCACTTGGTGGACACTCCCCTAGGGGACCAAATGGGAGACTGGAATTACAGATGGACATGAGGACATAACAGACATACAGTCACAAGCTTTTCCCATAATGCAGTATGGTTTCCTCCCCTCTGCCCTGGAGATAATTGAGAAGTAATTCAATTATCTCCAGGACAAAGACACATCGCCATTTTAAGTAAAAGACCAGAAAATACATAAAAATATATAACTTTATAACAACCGAAAATTTCACATTCGCATCACATATCCCCAGATAGCCTGGATCTGAGGGCATATTATTGGCGAATAGCGCTCAGATCCCATACGCATAGTTCAATTGCCATGGAGTCCTTACAGTCTTTCGGTATGCGATTGACTCCATGGGAAGGCTATCTGGGTTAAGTCCTTTCGTGTGATGTAAAACTCCCGAACGGCCTGTGTTCGTACGCTTTCGTCGGGGCAGCCAGGCGACCCGTTGTTTCAGCGGTGTTCAGCAGAAAAAGTGTCCGTTTTTAGTTCCATGAAATCAGTAGCGAACACCGCTGGTCTTTTGTGTGTTTTAAAATGGCCGCTGCCTCGTGGTCGACATGCGAACGACGGCCACCCTGAATTCGGTTTAATTGAGAAGTGTCTGTGGTTAACCACAACGTTCTAATTGGGATCAAGAGGTTAACCAGCAGCACACTTCTATCCTGGGTGGCCATCCGTTCGGTAAGTTTGTTCGGTAAAACACAGCCATTCGTATGGCTGAGCTATAGAAACAGCCATTTACACGAAAGGGGCAAAATAGACGAATCCACCACAATAGACATACAGATGGTTCTGTCACACACACACTAACAGACTCACTCACTCACTCACTCACTCACTCACATTAACACATTTATTTATTTTTTTTAACCCCCCCCCCACCTCCTTACCTTTGGGAATGCTGGGGTGGAGGGAGGGGTCCCTCTCTCCCTGTGGGTGCAGGGGGTGCAGTGTCTGGCGGACGGGCAGCTGGCGAGGGAGCACTTCCTCTGAGCTGTCTGCTCAGCTCCCTCGTGCGCCGCAGAGTGAGGCTGGGAGCCGGGTTGATGACATCATATTCCGGCTCCCAGTCTCACTCTGTGGCGCGCGAAGGACAGCTCAGAGGAAGTGCTCCCTCGCCAGCCGCCCGCCCAGCACCCCCCAACTGCCCGGCATGTCAGTTAGCCGCAAGGCTAACTAGGCATTTGCCCTGGGCATTTGGGGGCAGCGTTTTTTGCCCCCCCCCCTGAAAAATGCCGCCCAAGGCAAATGCCTTGTTTGCCTCGTGGCTAAAACGTCCCTGACAGCCAGAGAAGGGAGAAGCCAGGCTTGATTGTGTTACTGCCTACATCAGTCAGCCAGTGTGCTTGCCAGCGCTTGACTATTTGTATTGTATATTTAAGAATTGATTTATGCTTGGGTGCTCTGGTTACTAGACAATAACCCTGTACTTGGAGCAGTTGACAGTTGGTACCAAGCAGTTAATTTCTAGTGGCTGCTCGGAGAAGTAGGAGGAGTGAGGCACCCGGTAATGAATATCATCACTGTGCTAAGAGATGGAAAATTGAGTCAACAGGAGGTGAAGTAGCCACTCCATTAGTGCAGTTAAATGACACCAGCCCCAGATAAGAGCAGCCAACTTGGAAATGTTTCTGTTTTCTTGGTTGGCCAATGCTGTTGCAAGCTATGTTGGCCACCTGGTGCCCCTGTTGCCATGGTACTTAAAGTGATGATGAACACATCTATTTTGAGTTACAGTCCTTATATCAAGGCTGTGCACTTTCAGGATCTTGAAAGGTTATCCTTTTTTTTAACTTTAAAGAAGCAAATAAAGCCAATATGACATACAGTGACTCTTTCCTTCAGATTGTACAAGTTGCTAGGGATTCCGTGAAATGAGCCAGGTATGTTGCTGTTATATGCTACTGTCTTATAGCATGTACCCATGTATTGCTGACATCTATACTTGACTAAAGCTGTAATGTGATTATGTAATGTATATCTGTAAGTGCATTTCTGCACTTAATCTCTTCTCACTTCATTTACTAGTCATCATTATATCAAACTCTTCACTGTGGTTAATGGAACACTCCAAGCACCTTAACCACTACAGTGTACTGTAATGGTTATGATGCCAGGAATGGTCTTGCATTCTGCCCATTGTAAGCAGTCAAACCGATTTCAAACTAATTGGCTGCTTAACTAGGTCTGCTTTGTACCACTTCCCCCCTTTCTGCAGCATTCAAGAGAGCTGGAAATGCCTCCATTAGCTCTCCAGAGTTAAGTTCTGCAGTGACCGTTAACATCTTGGAGGGGTGCCAGGAAACTCCTGGCACCATAACCACTACAGTGCACTGGAATTTTCCTTTACGTTAGAAGTAATAAATCACAACATATTGATTGGTATTACCTCTAACCTGAGGAAGAAAGGACACTTTTATCGTTTAATATGTATTAGTAGTCCAATAAAGAAGCTAGTACAGCAATACATTCTTTATACTAGAATACAATATGTTAATTCAATAAGATACCTAACTTTATTTTTTAACTAGCTATTTTTTTCAGTTTTAGCTTATTTGATACTTTTGTGCTATGGTCTAGAGATAATCTGAAATTTGCAAAAGATTGCTGTGTCTAATCCCTGTCTTAAACATGACCATTTAATATTGCAAAATCAGCCCAGTACTCCTTTGTTATTTTAGTTCAAAGTTAGCAATTTACTTTAAACACAAGCAAAATTCTTATTAAAAAGCTAAAGGGATACTTGCTGTGTAAGTACATGGTAGTGATTAACTTTCATTCCCAGCAAGGATAAGCTACTTAGGTCCAAATCCCACATTTTAGCTTCATGCTCAGAATTTGATTATTGAAAAGTTTCTTTGGTACAAAAGAAAGTGCAGGACCAGTCTATCAAAGTGCCAGCGAAAAGTCAAAGTTCATTGTTAAATAAACCATTTGTGTTATCCTTTTTTAATCAATTACATAAATCTATAAGCATGGATGCATTTAGAAAAGTGCAAGAACTCTTTAATTACTTTGAAACGTGTTCTGTGAGAATCATCCAGTATGGATTATGGTAACATCAGAGTAAAATAGACAAAAGAGATAGATTTGAATATAACAATTAGAATGTTACTTGTGTTACTACTGTATAGCGTGCTGTTCGCACATTAGAGATATACTAAAATGGTAAACTGGAAATCATATCAAATATTATAAAGTTGTTTTTTTTCTCATGCTCTGTCTAGATGTATTGTTATTTGTATTTAATTTTTAAGTTTAATAGAACATTCCATTATATTCTACACATTATGGGCTTTAATGCAATGGTAATGTTGTAGCCTTTTGATTCAACCAGTGTTAAGACAGCCATTACCTGGTGCTCAGGTCAGCAGGGAACATATTTATTGGTTCAAAGCTAATTGGTTAGATGTGACAAGTGAAGTGAGTTCTGATTAAAAATAAATTTCTGGGACACCATCCTGGAAAGTCACAGGCAAATTGAGCTCCTTCCTGAAATTGATTGTTAAGGGTTTTAAAAGGGGCAAAAAACCCAAAACAGATAACCCCCACACGAATAAATTCATCCTGCATCGCTGGAGTGACTTTGGAGTGGATTACAAACCCACCATTCTCGCAAACCAGCAGTTGCAGTCTCCAACCTCTTACAGGCTTGGGCTGCCCTGGCGGGAGAGGCAGCCGATCTCTATGTCTGGGGTGCCCTGGTTGTTATTCTTGTGAACAGTCCAAGCCTCATACTCCCCTCCTCTATGCCGGCGGGGGATATCCCTGCCCCCCACCAGGCGAGTACTTACCCTGCAGTGCTCCTGGCCGACACCAGTAAAGGTTACCTACACGTGGCCTCCCCAAGATGGCCGACGGTAAAGCTGCACAAGCTCAGCTACAAACCAGCAACTGGGAAGCAGAATTCCGTCACAAATTTGACACCATGTGCCAACAGTATTGGAGAGGCTGGGAGGAGCGGCGGATACCACCAAAGCCTGCATCCATGGAGCAACCTCCAGGCAGAGCTCTGGTTTGGTGCCCTTCTCCCCAACTGGCTTCAAAACACAAACAAGCTCGACGACACCCACATCCAAGCAAAGAACCCTCCAAGCAGCGGTCCGGATCACAGTCCTCTAGAAGGTGACGTCTCACCACCTGGAAAGATCGAGCTGGCAAGCAGAAACGACACAGTGCACCTTGGCGTCCATCGGGAGCAGCTCCTACCATTTTGGAATCTGAGGTGGGCCTGGGATGTCGGTTTTCAGCCCCAGGCTCCCTTTATCACTGCCTCCCATGTTCAAGCCATGCATACTGCCATCCGGGACATCACTCATGGAGCCAAGTGGGACCGGAGTATTGGGAGCTGCAAGTGGGCTCTCGCAGAGGCCTGGGGGCAGTGGAGTGGCCTGTTCTGGACTGCCGGAACTCAGTCGCTGTATGGAACTCTGATAGTCAGCATAGGCATCGGGTGAGCGCGGGAAACTTTAGCGGGTTGATGGACGCTGTAGACCGGACCCCCCTTAGCTATTGCCCCCCCAGGCTTATATAGCCATGTAACATACCATATCATTAGCAAGCTGCTGCCTGGTGGATACAGCCTACTGTGAACTATTGCTGAATATGCATGTGTTCTTTTTTTAAATTTTGGTTTCTTTCTTGTCCCTATGCACAGCTGATTTGACTAGCCTGTTACCCCTAGCAGGCAAAACCCAAATACCCACCTCGTCTAGTGATACCTTTAAGTTAGACCATTCTGCTGGTACCTCATATCTAGACATGTTAGCCTGATCCACTTGTGTCAAGCATGTTCCTATATTATCTCATCTTAAAAGTGCAATGTTCTATTACAATTAATGCTACTCCTATGTGGAATAATCTTGCTTACATTTACGTTACACTGTCATTCTCTTCGTGTATGAATCACAATGCACACAAAAATAAAGAATTAAAAAAAAAATTCCAATGTTCCGTGTTTGTCTTCTGCAGGGTTGCCCAAAAGGTAGATCCCCAGATATTTAAAAACTACAGCTTTCATAATACATTGTCATTCTAAAAGCATGCAAATAATCATGGAATTTCTACAACATCTGGGGATCTACCTTTTGGGCACCCCTAGTCTACCCCTTGCCAAGGGTGTGTTTGCATGTGTTTTCTCATGTACTGTGTGATAAAAAAGATAATATAAGGTTGGTGTAGGAAAGGTGACAATTAAAAAAACCCAAGAATTACAAATGTAATCAAAATTACACTGTAAAGATTGATATGCTGAAGAATCGTGGTCCTGATACACACTGACACAGAGCAGAATAGGGACTGTTCCTCCTACATCGGGTCACTTGGCAGATATGGATTGACACCTGTCCTCAAAGCCCCTGATACACACTGACACAGACCAGAATAGGGACTGTTACCCCTACATAGGGTCACTTGGCAGATATGGCGTGGTCGTGGGAGGAGGAGGATGACTTTCACCTCTTCCCCTGTTAGATTCCCGTTGTGCTGTGACATCACCCTTATACACTGTGTAAAGCATACTTTTTAATTTATTTTGCAATTGCTGCATCCTTTCCGACTTGTAATTCGGTCACATTTCCGCCACTGTCTGCTTATAGCCGGGGTCTAGTAGCGTGGACACCCAGCACAGGTCGTTCTCCTTCAGCCTTTTTATACGAGGGTCCCTCAACAGGCACGACAGCATGAAAGACCCCATTTGCACAAGGTTGGATGCCGAGCTACTCATTTCCCATTCTTCCTCCTCACACAGAGCAGAATAGGGACTGTTCCCCCCTACACTTGGTAGATATGGATTGACAACTGTCCTAAGGGTCCCTGATACACAAGGACACAGAGCAGAATAGAGACTGTTCCCCCTACATAGGGTCACTTGGCAGATATGGATTGACACCTGTCCTCAGAGACCAAGATACACACTGACACAGAGCAGAATAGAGACTGTTCCCCCTACATAGGGTCACTTGGCAGATATGGATTGACACCTGTCCTAAGGATCCCTGATACACACTGACACAGAGCAGAATAGAGACTGTTCCCCCTACATAGGGTCACTTGGCAGATATGGATTGACACCTGTCCTAAGGATCCCGGATACACACTGACACAGAGCAGAATAGGGACTGTTCCCCAACATCGGGTCACTTGGCAGATATGGATTGACACCTGTCCTCAAGGATCCCTGATACACACTGACACAGAGCAGAATAGGGACTGTTCCCCTACATCGGGTCACTTGGCAGATATGGATTGACACCTTGTTACAAACTGCTATTTGTAACGGGCCCTTTAAATGGCAAATTGCCCTGCTTCCCTGGGTTGTGGAGAAGCCTATTTGCCAGAATAGAGACTGTTCCCCTACATAGGGTCACTTGGCAGATATGGATTGACACCTGTCCTAAGGATCCCTGATACACACTGATACACACCTACTTGGATGGTATAGACATTTTTAGCTGTTCCTGGCCTGAACACCTGACCCACATAGGAGCCGTAATAGACCGGATTAGGGAGTCCGGACTGACCCTAAAGCCCAGTAAGTGCCATATAGGAACGTGTAAAAACCTCCCCAAGATAGTAGTATGGGCCCCAGAGTGTGAACAGGCCTTCCAACAGCTCAAGACGGCGCTCATTAAATCACCTGTACTTTCTGCTCCTGATCCAACTAAACACTTTCTCGTCCATACAGACGCTTCTATGCTTGGATTGGGAGCAGTACTGAGCCAAGTCGGAGCAGATGGTGTCGAGCAACCCGGGGCTTATCTAAGCCGTAAACTTTTGCCCAGCGAAGTAGATACACTGCCATTGAAAAGGAGTGCATGGCGGTGGTGTGGGCCCTCAAAAAGCTGCAACCTACTTGTATGGACAACTGCTTACCTTACTCACAGATCACAACAAATTTGGGGCACTGCGCGTGCAATCTAATGTGCCACCAGATAGGAGTGGTGTGTTTAGTACTATTTTTATCAGTTTAATCCCTGTTACGTCCCCTATCCGTTGATGTGGAGCAAGACGCAGCAGCAGAAGAGGACTCAGCCGAGGAGGTTATGGAAGAGGATGGAGTAGGAGGGAGTAGAGGAGGTGGCAGCAGGCCTGCCTGCAAGTCATGGCGGTGTCACCAACTCCTCTGCAGAGCCACGCATTCCATGCTTGGCAGCCGTCAGCAGGTTTGCCCAATGCGCAGTGTAGGTGATATACCTGCCCTGACCATGCTATACAGACCAGGTATCAGTGGTCAGATGGACCCTTGCCCCAACACTGTGTGCCAGACATGCCATTATTTCCTTTTGCACAATCGAGTACAGGTTGGGGATTGCCTTTTGTGAAAATAAATTTCGTCCGGGTACCAGTGAGTGAGTGGTGGCACTGGGCACAGTATCCACTGTGAGCCTGACACACCTGCTGGCAGACAACTAACTGCTATTCAGTCTATAACAGTGAAAAAAGTTTTTTGTTTTTAAATGCAAGCTATTGTGACACCAGTGAGTGAGTGGTGGCACTGGGCACAGTATCCACTGTGAGCCTGACACACCCGCTTTGAGACAACTAACTGCTATTCAATCTATAACAGTGAAAAAAGTTTTTTGTTTTTAAATGCAAGATATTGTGACACCAGATATGAGTGGCACTGTAAACTGGCAGAGTACACGCTGTAGGGCTGACACACCAGCTTTGAGACAACTAACTGCTATTCAATCTATAACTGATGTTTGTTTCACAGGCAGAAAGTGCCCTAAAAGATGGCGGCTTGAACCCAAGTTGGTGGCGGATCAGTCACGCAAGTCAACAGGCATTCAGAGCTAAAATACAGCAGCGTGTGGACCATTTTTTGCCCAAGGCAGCTCATCTCATCAGGCCTTTTTTAATCTAATGTATCGCCCAGTGTCAGTCCCTTCGGGATTCATCCCTCATTCATCTTAATAAAGGTGAGGTAATCTAGACTTTTTTGACCTAGGCGACTTCTCTTCTCAGTGACAATACCTCCTGCTGCACTGAAGGTCCTTTCTGACAGGACACTTGAAGCGGGGCAGGCCAGAAGTTCTATCGCAAATTGGGATGGCTCAGGCCACAGGTCAAGCCTGCACACCCAGTAGTCAAGGGGGGTTCATCGCTCCTCAGTGTCGATATCTGCAGTTAAGGCGAGGTAGTCTGCTACCTGTCGGTCGAGTCGCTCTCTGAGGGTGGATCCCGAAGGGCTGTGGCGATGCGTAGGACTTAAAAAGGTCCGCATGTCCTCCATCAACAACACGTCTTTAAAGCGTCCTGTCCTTGTCGGCGTGGTCATGGGAGGAGGAGGATGACTTCCACCTCTCCCCCTGTTAGATTCCCGTTGTGCTGTGACATCACCCTTATATGCTGTGTAAAGCATACTTTTCAATTTATTTTGCAAATGCTGCATCCTTTCATACTTGTTGTAATTCAGTAACATTTCCGCCACTTTCTGCTTATACCGGGGGTCTAGTAGCGTGGACACCCAGTACAGGTCATTCTCCTTCAGCCTTTTTATACGAGGGTCCCTCAACAGGCACGACAGCATGAAAGACCCCATTTGCACAAGGTTGGATGCCGAGCTACTCATTTCCCGTTCCTCCTCCTCACTGATGTCAATGAAGGTATTTTCTTCCCCCCAGCCACGTACAACACCACGGGTACCAGATAGGTGACAACGAGCACCCTGGATGCCTGTTGTGGTTGGTCTTGCTCCTCCTCTTCCTCCTCCTCAAAGCCACATTCCTCCTCTGACTCCTCTTCCTCACAATCCTCTTCCAGCGTTGCCGCAGGTCCAGCAAGCGATGCTGATAAGGCTGTTTCTGGAGGTGATGGTGACCAACTCTTCCTCTTCCTCTTCACGCTCATCTACGGCCTGATCCAGCACTCTTCGCAGGGCACGCTCCAGGAAGAAAACAAATGGTATGATGTCACTGATGGTGCCTTCGGTGCGACTGACCAAATTTGTCACCTCCTCAAAAGGACGCATGAGCCTACAGGCATTGCGCATGAGCGTCCAGTAACGTGGCAAAAAATTCCCAGCTCCCCAGAGGCTGTCCTAGCACCCCGGTCATACAAATATTCATTAACTGCTTTTTCTTGTTGGAGCAGGCGGTCGAACATTAGGAGTGTTTGAATTCCAAC